GGGCGTCACAGCGGCTCCAGGTCCTCGTCCCCGCACGCGAACTCGTACAGGTCCACGTCCCCGGCGGCCGGCGCCCCGCAGCAGGGCCTCTGCGTCCGCGGGGACCGCAGCTTCTGCTCCACCGGGCTCAGCGCCGCCTCCAGCCTGCGCGGCGGGGTGGAGTGGGGTGTGGGGACCCCAGAGTGCGCACCAGGGCCCCAGAGTGCGCACCAGCCCGCAGCTCTGCCCCATGTGGACCTCCCGCAGGACGGGGACCGACGCCTGGCCGGGCAGCCCGCGGCCCAGGTGGCGGAGTGCGCACCCAGCTGCGTTCCCCAGGCCCCAGGGAGCGAGCTGGTGGCCGACTCGGGACTCGGCTCCCGCCTGCACTCAGCCACACACGTAGAGTAACGGACAGCAGCCTGACTCAGCCTCCCAGCCTGTGCCGGGGCCTGCCCAAGCCGCCGGGGCCGATGCAGACCACCCTGTCCCCCAGGCCCCGGCAGCTGGCGTGGTACAGCGCCCGCCCGCCCGCCAGTCCGCGTGCGTGCCCACACTCACCCGTCGTCCCAGGCCTCGCCCGCGGCCTCCTCGGCCACCAGGACGTCGTACTCCTCAGCGGCGAACCTGTCCCAGTCGGAGAGCTCCGGGCCCTCGCTGTCGCTGTCCTGTGGGGCGGGAGAGTCAGGGCTGGCGGGGTGGGGCATAGCCTGGCGGGCGCGGGGCGCGGTCTCGGGGCTCACCCTGAGCAGGGCCGCCTGCTCCCGCTGCTCGTGGTCCAGGTACTTCTCCACGTTGAAGAAGGTGTCGAAGAAGACGTGCGCCATCTTGCAGCGCTTCAGGTCCTGCAGAGTGACCCTGCCTGCGGGACACGGGGGTGACGCGGGGCACCGGGGAGCCGGGGGTCCTGCTGCCCACGCCCGCCCGCCCGGCCGCACCTGGGCTCCGCGGCTTCACCAGGTCCAGCATCTGGCACACGCAGTCCCGGAAGGGCAGCGGCTCGATGCCCAGGCTGTCCAGCCGCCGGCGCTGCTCCTCGTAGAAGAACTCGAGCTCGAACATGGAGAGCGCGCCGTCCCCGTCCAGGTCCATGCAGCGGAACCAGTACTCGATGCTGCGGGGCCGGCGCGCGTCAGGACCCGGGCACCCGGGCGCGGCCCCGACGCCCCTCCCGCCCGGCGCCCACCTGGTCGGCGTCTTCTTGTCCTCCTCGGAGATGAGGAACCACACGAAGTCGGCGTAGCTGAGCCGGCCCTCCTTGTGCACCCTGCGCCCTCTGCGGGACGGAGACCGTCACGGGAGCCGCCCCGGCCCTGCCCTCCCGGGTGTCACCACCGCAGCCCCGCCGGGGGCCTGGGCAGGACCGGCAGCCCCGCGAGGGAGGGCAGCGCTGCGCCCCGCGCATGTGCTGTCTGCGGGTCCCGCCCGGGCCAGACACGGGATCCTCCCCAGACGCACGGCTCCGCCCGAGCACGCCTGCCCGTGTAGACACCATCCGGGTGGTGCGTCCCTCCCCGACCTGCGCGCCGGGGACCTGGCACAGGAGGGAGGCGGTGGCCGCGGTGACGGGTGAGGGACGCGGGCACGCACCGGGTCACGGCTCCGGAGAAGATGCGCTCGATCATCCGCGAGGAGATGGCTGCGGACAGCAGGGCGTGAGCGGCGGGCACACGGGCGCAGGGCCGGCCCGAGCGGGGCCGGGACAGGCACACGGCAGGACCAGCTGCGCGCACGGAGCCC